CCCTCGTTGCTTCAAGAATTGACTTAACAACTCATTGACCGCTTGAACAGGTCGTTCTTTGGGAGTATTTGCTGCCATTTCTCCATTTTTTTCATTATCAACCCCTTTACCATAAAAGGACATCAAACTAGACAATGTGTCATCCACTTTTTTGCATAACTTAGAGGCTGTGGTAGCATCATAAACCATGCTAAAATAGTACCGAAGATAGTCCCTTTTATATCTAGGGTTAAGTACAACAGCAACAAACAATATACAGTTAATATTTTCTCCGTTGCCCTAATATTTTTCAAACTTCCTTCTCATCCCAAAAGCCATGGTTGACAACAAGCAATCACTACTTTCACACAACTCACTCAACTGTCTTTGAATGGAACAAATCTCATGGAAAAAGTGTTGGAAGTGACATGTTGTGATGCACTAAATTTCAAAGTGACTTCATAAAAAGTCTTAAGAAATTGAACAAAAACCTTAGCATTTGCCCAATCTTCCTCCATTGGTGGTCCCACTTTTCTCTTCCCACCATCTTCTTCCAAAAAGTATCCTAAGAACTTTTCATCCTCCTCTTCATATCTATCAAAAGCCTTTTGGAACTTAATAGCAACATCTAACATCATGTATGTTGAGTTCCACCTAGTTGGGACATCTAAAACCAACGAACCCTTATATTCAACTTTCTCTTGCTTCACACAATCTTTGAACTTTTGTAACCTTGCAGGAGAAGATTTGACATACTTAACAGCATTTCGAATTGTTGTTATTAAGCTATGCATCTCCTTTAGTCCTTCATTTACAATGAGGTTAACAATGTGAGCAACACAACGTTGATGGAGAAATTCACCATCCAAAACAACGCCCTTCCACCCATTCACCCTCCGTTTGAAATAACTCAAGGCTGAATCATTGGCAGCAGCATTATCTACTGTCACCGTGAACACCTTTTCAAGCCCCCATCCATGCATACATTGCTCAATCAACCTCCTAATGGTTTCCCCTTTTCCATTTGGCATGGTACAAAAGTTGATAATTCTCTTTTGAAGCTTCCAATCAGAATCAATGTAGTGGGCAGTTAGACACATATAGTGTATGTTTTGCAAAGAAGTCCAACCATCAGTTGTAAAGGACACCCTCTTACAATCCTTGCATAAAGAAACTTTTAATTTAGCCTTTTCCTTACTAAACAATTGCAAAACATCTCTAGCAACTATTATTCTTGAGGGAGGAATAAATTTGGGCTGCATCACTTGGAAAAATTGTTTAAACCCATCCCCTTCTACACTCCTAAATGGCAGCTCATCCATGATCACCATCTTAGCTAAAGCTTTCCTACAAGTTTCTTTACTATACCCAATTGCCAACAAACCACTCTCACTTTCACTACTCGCACCAAAACTTAACAATTTCTACTTCTTATCTTCAACTCTAAAGAGATTCTTTTTGCATTTTCTTAAATGAATCAACATGCTACTTGTCCCATGCGTTCTAGAACTACAAGCATAGTCCTTCCCACAGTAATTACACACCCCTCTTTCATCACCTGGATTCTTCCCTTTCTTAATAGTAAAATGATCCCAAACCTCGGATTTTCTAACGGGTTTTCTTACCAGATGTCCCCTCATTCTCATATTCTAAATCAATCACATCTTTTTTTGGTGATCTAGGGGCTGGTGTTTTGAAAGCCACGTCAGAGACAGGCGATTCATTTGTTGTACGATTAGGGGATCGGGAAAATGATGCTACAGTTCCAGAGGTTGGGGTGTGGTTGTCAGATGATGATAGGAACTTGTCCATCCTAAATAGAAAATATAAAGCAAGCCATTCACATAACTACCTCATGTGATTGGGGACTTTAATTAGCTCCTAAACAGAAAATATAAAGCAAGCCATTCACATAACAGGAAAGCGCACTGTATTTTCTACTTTTAAGTTTAAGTTTTTAGAATTGCTTTGTAATTCCTAATTTCCTATGGATTAAGGACTTTATTGATTAAGGACTTTATTAATTCCTAATTTCCTGGTTGTCAATGATTGAGGACTTTATTAACTTTATATTTATTGTTATTTTCCATATTGTGTTTTTGTATATTGGTTCATAATTGATGATGTTTTTCTTCCAGATACTTGCTGGAGTGAAACATACTTCTCACTTTGTCTTGAATTTACATCTTTTCAGGGTAGGCTCGGTCCAGGAAGGTTGCATCATTGCATGAGGTTGATAGGTGCTGCTGAGCGTGGCATGCAAATGATGGTTCAAAGGGCTCTTAGTAGAAGAGTCTTTGGGAAGTTGATTGCTGATCAAGGTTCTTTCCTTTCAGATTTGGGGAAGGTATATCAATTTAGTACCATGTGATAAGACAAGAGGAATTTTATGTTCTTAGATTCATTAAGAATCCTTTGAGGGAAGTAAGAATCTTAAACTTTGTAATATTAACTAGAGACTAACTGGTTAATCTTAGTGGTAACTTGACTGCGCAACCTTTCAAATTTTTGTTACCTGTCATTCCAATGAAGTAATAATCTTGAAATTTTATTTAAATCGAATCTTCCAATATGCCTAACCATTTAACTGTACTTTAATAACCTTCACAACACATGGTGATGGTATTTCTGCATTTCTTGTTTGTTTTTTAACGATAATTCTTATGTCTTCATTCATGCCTCACAAACAACCTAGTTCTGTATGATTGGATTCAAATCATTAATTTTTCTGAATTCTTGTTTGTTTTTCCGAATCCAGAAGTACGTATGATTGGATTCAAATCATTTCTTTTTCTTTGTTGAGGAATATAACCTAGTTCTGGTTGTTACGCACAGTGAAAGAAATAAGGATCAATTGGATTCAAATCATTCAAATCCAGAAGTACGTTGAGGAACTAACCTTCAGAGTCGAATTTCTGGAAGAAATAAGGATCGATTTCTTTGGGATCGCTTCTGCCAATCCGCTGGACCGCCGGTATT